GGATTGCAAGTAGAAGCCCAGCTTGAGTAACCTAGTGAGACTCTGACTCAAAATAAGAAATAGGTAGCCAGAATCTGGTCCATGGGCCACAGTTTTCTTTTGTTTTTTTGGTACTGGGGATCTAACTCTGGACCTTGCGCTTGCGAGGCTGGCGGCGACACGACTGAGCTAAATCCCCAGTCCTCAACATAAGAAATAGGAAGTGGGATGTGGTAGGCAGGTAGCTTGGTGTGAAGGTCCTAGGTTCAACTCATAGTACTTCCAAAAAGAAAGTTTACTGTTTCTTGTTTGTGCTGAATTAGATGTAGGAGGAAAATATCTTAGTAATTCTTTCTGTAGCTTGGATTGTCAAAGATAAGAATTTTCTTTCCCATGCCTGCAAACTCAGGGTAGTCCTTCTGCCTCAGCCTCTTGAATGCTTGTATTACAGGAGTATGCTACCACATCCAACTGCTTCTTAATTTAAGAGAAATATTTGTTTTTTATTTTTAATACCACTAGGTTTGTATAAACAATACATTCCACCTTCACATTATTAACATCCGTTATCCTACTTCACTTTTTAAATAATTTTTTATATTAATTCAGTCAGTTCATTCATATATGTTTCTAACATTTTAAACTTTTTATGCAGTATGGACAATTTTTATATTCATGTGTTTGTTTTAATTTAAATTACAGAAGCCAGCCTGTGCTGTAAATCAGCCTGAATCCTTCTATTTCCTGTGTCTAGGAAAGGTCTCAGACAATGAAATGTACCTCAAACTCTTAGAGTTTTCTTAAAATTGGTATTTCCAGAGTGTTTTCCATGTGCCAGGAACAGTGCTAGGTGTTTTATATTCATAATCTTTGAGCCATAAAACAACCTGACAAGAAGTCATTAATACTGTTTTATAGATGAAGAGTCTGTGACATCGAGGGAAAGTGACTTATTTAAAAGACCTCATAGTAAGTAACAGAGCTAGGATTCCAGCCCATGTCCAGTTGACCCTAAAATCAGTGTTTCTTGCACCCACCAGATATAGGATAGGTTGAAAATGGCATTAGAATCTGAGAAGTTTATTTGATTTATTCGATGGTAGGTTTGGAGGCTGAGACACGTAGTCATGATAGAAGTCCGTTAACCCCTCCCCCTTTAAAGCACTAAAACCTTGAGAGAAGGTACTACTCATTAATTTGATCTTCACCATAAACCAAGTACATGATAATTGAAGACTGTAGACATTGGAAGTTTTGCCAGTTCACTGCTACTATTACTACAGTGTACATTGTTAAAATGTTCCTTGAGCTGGATGTGGTGGCACATGCCTGTAATCTCAGCTCTCAGGAGGCTGAGGCATGAGGATTGCTGTGAGTTAGAGGTCAGCCTAGGCTACATAGTGAGACCATGTCTCAAAAAACCAAAACAAACAAACAACCCCAATCAAACACCCCCTCTCCCAAAGTTCCTTGAAAAGAAGCTTCAGTATTTCTTTTCAGGTTTCCATCTACAGTTGTCCTGTGTGCTTCAGTCATCTCAATAAGATAGAAAAGGCTTCTTCTCATCATTCCATTTCTAAAATAAGCCTTTACCATATTCCTAAATAGATACCAGGTTCCCAGTACTTGGATACCATTGTTTTGCACTCACTCAACAATGTTCATGTACTCCCTGACAGATTAGAGTTCATTTTTTGGCTATAGAATATTGTCTTCCTAACACCTACATCCAGATACATAAATACAAGGCTCTGAACACATTGTAATGATACTGGTTTTTTGTTTTGTTTTGTTTTGTTTTGTTTTCTGAGACAGGGTCTCCAGATATAGTTCAGACTGGCCTTGAACTCACTATGTAGCCTAGGCTGACCTCGAACTGGAAGCAATCTTCCTGCCTCAACCTCCTGAATGCTGGGATCACAGGCATGTGCCACCATGCCTGGCAAAATGCTGGTTATTTTAACCAAATATGACATGAGAATTTTCTGGCAAAGCCAAAGTGCATGCGGCAGCTGGTCACACAATGGCTGGGAAAGGGTGTCTAATCTCTAAGTATTTCCTTTTTATTCAGTTGAATTGCCGGCATGGCCAGCATTAATAATTTAGGGTAGTTACTTATGAAGGCTTGCCTTGGGGGTTAAATAGTATATATCTGTCTACAATGAGTCACATTTAAAGATTAAAGGGGAAAATAATAATAAGTAATAGCTATCCTTTTTTGAATCTCTACTATATGCCTGGTCATCTTACTAGATGCATTATATGCTTTATTGTGAATCCTTCCATACGTCTGGAGTGTGGGTGTTTCCTCATTTTGAAGACTAGGCTACTAAATCTCAGTGGTAATTTGCCTTGTATCATCTAGTTAGTACAGTGATTGCTAGTAAACTCACCTAGGTTTGACAGACTTCAAGGCCCTTGCTCTTTGTTATTCTGTGTTATCCATAACAGTGATACTGGAAGGGAGAATATAGCATTGATTACCTCATATGTTTAGGACGAACTTTTAGATGCTAAATTAGTACTACTCTGGAGCATTTTCCTTACTCTGACCACTACTACCTGTCTGCCACTGTTGTCTTAAATATTCTTCATGATCTCTTCGTTGCAGGCTAAGAAAGGAAACTGGATCTGGGTTTTCTTTTCACCATTGATCTCAAATGGTTTTCTAGGTCTCTGCCAAGTATCATATCACTAGGTATTTTGTCATAGTCATTGTATTTTTTATTCAGGTTATTATTTGTGTCCCATGAATCTGTAGCTGCAGACAGTTTATGCTGGATATGCACATAGTTCAGGTCAACACTGTTCCAGTAGGGCTTTTTGCAGTTATGGGAATGTCATGTATCTGGACTGTCCAATAAGATAGATGCTAGTAATATGAGGTTCTTTTTTTTTTTTTGGTACCGGGGATCGAACTCAGGTCATTGCACTTGCACAGATGAGGTTCTTTTTTTAAACTAAGAATTTAATATTTTGGGGCCGGGGATTTAGCTCAGTGGTTCTGGCGCCTTCCTCGAAAGTGCAAGGTCCCGAGTTTGATCTCCGGTACCAAAAAAAAAAAAAAAAGGAAAAAAATCCTAATATTTTATTGATATCTTATTTTCTTGTTAAGTACACATTGTTTAACACAGTAAACTCATAAAATTAACAATTCATCAATAGAAATACACATGAGGTTCTTGAGTGCTTGAAATGTGGCTAGTGTAAATGAAGGACTTTTTAAAGATTTTTTATTTTTTTATTTGAGACAGTGTCTTGCTGTGTAGTTCAAGCTGGCCTCAAACTCTCTGTGTAGCCTGGGCTGGCCTTGAACTCAGGGCCATCCTCCTGCCTCAGCCTCCCCAGTTCTGGGATTACAGGCGTGTGCCACCACTCCCGGCTCTATTTAATTTTGATTAAATAAAAATAACCACAATATGACTAGTGGCTACTGGATTGGACAGCACCACTAGAGGCAGTACCTGATGTTTATGTTTGATGAGTAATGACAAAATTTGAGGAAACTCAGCGGATAATTTCTTTCTTTCTTTCTTTCTTTCTTTTTACAATTAAAATGGGCACATTTTATTGTTTGTAAATTAAACCCAAGTAAAGTTGATTTTTTGTTGTTGCTTTTTTTTTTTTCTTTTTTCTTTTTTGGTATCAGGGATTGAACTCAGGTCCTTGTGGTTGCAAGGCAGGGGCGGAACCACTGAACTAAATCCCTGGCCTTGTTGTTGCTTTTTTGAGACAGAATCTCACTATATAGTCCAAGGCTGGCCATGAACTCACTATGTAGTCCAGGTTGGCCTTGAACTCCTGCCTCAGCCTCTGGAGTACTAGAATTAAAGGCATGTGCCACCACACCCAGCTTAGTAAAGTTGATTTTAAAAATTATGCACATACACCTTGGTAGAACATGAGCCTGTGGCTGTTTATGCGTCTGTGTGCAGCAAGCCAGTGTGTGCTCCCAGTAGCATCTGGGAGTGTGCACCAGTTGAGATCTAAATAATGTTATAGGCATCAGCAAGAGTTGTGTGGTGGGGGTTTGGGGATGGAAGTGCCTTCACCTTCATTATCAATTGGTAATTTAAAGGTTGCTCATGTATTTTCCAGCAACATTAAATCTAGATATGTTCAACTTAAAACCATATTATCATGGGACAAAATAGGGTAGAACAGTTAATGTTTCCAAAGTAGTTTTTTTTGGTACCAGGATTGAACTCAGGACCTTGTGCTTGTGAGGCAGGTGGTGGAACCACTGAGCTAAATCCCCGGGCCATCCAAAGTAGTTTTTGATCATTCAGGATCTCACTTGGTGAATCTTTCAGATATCATATTATATGACTTGGTTTTGCTAATGGATCACAGAAGAAAGGGAGAAAGAACAAACTCGATTACAGCTTCCTTGTACAGGGTCTCCTTCTCCTGTTGAAATGGCCAGCAGTCTATTGGTGTTCGGGTAATGGAGGCCTGGACAGGAACCCATATACTGTTTTTCTCTGCTCATTGATTGAGACTGGAGATTTATCTCTCCCCTCTCAGTTAAAATATCCATTAATTTTTGTTTTTACATCTCAAGAGAAGGAAGTAGAGGCAATTTCTAAATTTACCCAGGGAGCTACAATGTTTTGATTATCAGTAACAACAATAGAAATGTAGTGTTTCTTTCTAATAACCTGAATAAGTGCTTTGGACTTTGATTTTAAATTTTTGTTTTGGCAAATACAGCCTAGAACCAGAAGTCTTCTGTGTAAGACTAGTTTTGTCGTATGTTTTCCAAAGAAACTTTTGATGGAGGTAAATAATACATTATATATGATATCTTGGAGAAAAATTAATGTCATTACAGTTTTCTTTATTTAATTTTGATTATCTGGTCTCATAAATTTTTTTTTTTTGTACTGGGGATCGAACTCGGGACCTTGCACTCGTGAGGCAGGCGCTGGAACCACTGAGCTAAATCCCCGGCCCTCATGAAGTATTTTAAAAATATTAATTTTGTATTTGTCACTTGTGTTACTAAGTATATTTTTTTCTTGACATTTTGTTTATAAAATGTTTCTCTCCTTTCCACCAGAACATAGAACCAATCAACTCTGGATGCTTTTGATATTTCTGACTGTGCTAGGGAATTGAATGAAGTTCCCTGTAGTGAGGAAAGAGCACATGGGACTCGTGACTTTATGTACTCCAACAATAGTGCTTTTATGACATTGGAGGTGGTTAAAAAAGCTAGAAGTAGCTCTTAAACGTGGCATCTCTTGTGTTGCCGTTTTTTTTTTTTGTATTCTCAGAGCTGCCAGGAGTGCATCGAGCCTGTAATTTCCTGTCCTCTGAATCCCCCATCTTTCTGCAGCTCTAAGCTTTGTGTCCCACAGCCTGTGACTCTGTGCTAACAAATCGCTATTGTCCAGTGTGGCGAATGGTGGCTGGAACTAAAGAATTGCTGTCTGGTTTCTATTCAAATCCAGGTAGTGAGATATATGAATGGACTTTTCGAATCGTCATGTGAATTAACGTCTGCTCGGCATGAAGGCTCAGAGCCACACTAGGAAAGATTAACTCCTAGTCTGACCACTAACATCCTTTGTAATAGGAGGTAGAAACATTTCAGAGTATCATTTTATTCACACTAATTTTCTGTTTCATACTTACAAAAGTAGGGTTGGCTGTTTAATTATTTGGCAACTTTTCTGTCAAGTTTTAGTATTTATTGATAATACAGAGAAGTTTGGGGAAGTACTAAGGTTTTTGTTCACTTATTACCACTTATTTTCTCTCAAAAGTTTCCTCCCTAACATTCATTACAGCATAAAGTTACCTTTCTAATATTCAAACCAAAAGTAGTAGAGAGCTACTTTTTCTAAGAAACCAGTCCTTTAAAATACTTTCCAACCAATAGAAGGAAAAATTCCCCTCTCCTTTTTAGTGTACTCTACTTAATACTTTATGTGTTTCTCCCGAAGTCCAAATTTGTACAAAGAAATCATAGAAACAACTTCAAATGCAGTATATTCACCAAGCAAAACAGGTCTCCTTCAAATTAGGAACAAACCTAAGCATTGGTAAGTACAGCAACATAGGGATTTTTTTAAAGCAAAATTGGAACTGGATTGTAATTCATAATTCCTTCTTATCTATGGAAAATTATTTTATCTTTCTCTTGTATACTTGAAAAAAAATCTCGACAGGCTTGAAGGGCCATACTTTTACATTCCTTCCATATCACAGATAGTATGAAACGGAGAGCCTTTTATGTTTCTTTTTGTCTTAAACTCAGACAGCTTTGTAAGCAGTAGTGTGTAGATTACAAGAGTTAGACAAAAGCAGGCACGACTGAGAAGAGTTGGTTGGGGGGAGACTTGGGGCACTTCCTGTCACTCAACACATTCCAGATCACTAAAAAATTTCCACACCCCCTGCATTCCCTCTGCACACCCCTGTTCCCAGTATTTTCTGATTCTGTACGTTGTGGTATTTATCATACTGCTCTCTTGCTGGGCTCTGGCAAGACTGCTTCAGAGGAGATACATTCCTTTAGATTGTACAAAGCATAGCTGGGAAAATGGCTGGCAGTTTCAGAATCTAGTCACGATCGCACGCATGAGCACCTCACGCATCCATGCCCCTTCCCCCTCCCGCCCCTGCAGCTGGCTGACCTGTCTCACCCACTGCTGGCCTATCGAGCGGCCAGGACTGTCTGGTTTTGGCTCATGCCTTTGTCCATGTCTGGCTTAGTTCCTCTCTGTCTATGCTTGCCTCTATCCCCACCGCCCCAGGCGGCACAAGTGTTTGGCCACGCAAAACTGCAGAAAAGGTGGCAAAAACTTCAAACTTTGCTAGATTCTCCAACAGTTTATTCTTTTGTAAATTTCTTCTTTTTAAAAAATCTCTATTTTAAGAAAACAAATAACAAAATTAATTTTCTAAAGGCAAGGAATGCAAAGCAACCTTTGTGTTCCTTATAATAACTGACTTCATAACTCTTCTCCAGCTGCGTTATGGGGTGTGTATAAAGCTTCTGTTCTGAGAACAAAGGAGCACGTGCAGAAATGAGACTTAAAAAATCCACTGATAGTATTTCACTACACAAATTACTTAAAAGATTTTAGTCAAGCCTCTCAACAGATTCAATTTTTAAATGTTTTTTTTTAGTTTAAAAGAAAAAAAAAAAACAAATTGAAAGCGCTTACCCAGTAAAAGAACCGAAGTAGTCCTGAACTGTTACGTAAGACTTTTTACAGTTGGATCTTTGTCAAAAGGGGATGGGGGTGATGGGAGAAAGCAGCAACAACAATCAAAAAGTTCAAGCTGCTGTGGCAAGAGGACAACTTCTGTGCTTCCAGATTGGGTTCTTGCTGTAGAAATGGAACTTCCAGCCAGCACAGCATCCTGTTCCAGTAGAGAAATGACTTTGTCAGTAAGAAAAATTTAGATACTGGAACCCAGGCTAGATGAGCTATTGAACCACGCCAGATTTCCTTGCAGCCCTGTCTGCTCAGCCCGCATTGAACTATATATGACCCAGATGATGGACAGAAGCACATTCAGTCATGTGCACACTGGAAGAAAGCGGATTTGCTGGTCCCTGGCATTGCAGGGGTTTGTCTTCTGATTGGGCTGTGCCCTGATCAGTGAAATGTGAAGCTCTCACCATTCAGAGGCCGTAATTCAGGACTGGCAGTTTGAGTGTCTGGCTGCTTCTAGTCACAGAGAGAGACTTTGAAGGTGTTGCTATTGTGTGGTGGCATTACCCACCCAAAGGTTGCTTATACCTACATGCTTGTGGCAGGAGAAACACTGTTGTATCTAAAATGCAAGAAAGCTGCTGACTGCCTGAATGCCAGGTCATCCTATTGTTGATGAATTGGGCTTTTAGACCAGTTATTTGATTTGAGAATTTTTTGTGATCCTAAGCAAGCGTTATATCCAGGCCATCCCTTGGTCCTGATTTTATGGGTTTGATAAAGTAAAAATAAAACTGATGTTTAACTTTGAACCTTTTCTACATGATGTAAATTGCTCTTAATGAAAATTGGATTGGGTGTTCAGGAGAAAAGTTTTGGATTCTGGAGTCTTTGAATGTACTGAGAAGAAGCTTTATCTATTATTATCCTCTTTGTGAGGCTGTCACTCTTATCCCAGTCCTTAGTCACATAGAGGGTTGCTTGGAGTGCGGGGGTGGGGGGCGTTATGAAAGCATAGACCCTACTGCACTGTGACATAGCTTTTAATCATGCAAGACAACCACAGTCTGCTCTGTTCAGCCTTTCTGACCTAGGGTCCTCGGGGCTTATTTCCCTTCTTTCTGGGCCACTGGGAAACCATGTCATTATACAGGACTGTCAGTTGTGACATTTTGGTTTAGTACACGACAGTTGCTTTGTTTAATATAGGATGACACGTTTTTTAAAAATTAAAACAATAAAATTGCATTATGAAACTTTGACTCTGACATATGAAATTCATTCTACATGGAGCATGGACTTTCTTGTTTCTTTAGGAATTAGTTTATATAGTTCTAAATGAATATTTAGACTTAGTTTATTTTCTGCCTCTCTCACACTTGTTGAAATAATTCCATGACCAGCACATAGCATCTATTTTATTGCAAACTCTGGGTTTGGATGTTTGTATACTTGTACTTTTTTAGGTATTTACTTCATTCCACAACATTCATTGTATGAAGATTGCCTCAGAATTCTACTGTCCTAACCTGGGATGATATGCTACCAGTGGTGAGGATGCTTAGAGTGAGAGGACTTGAACACGTTCTTGTTTTCTTTAAACTATCCATCAATCATTCTTTTTTTTTTTGAAGTTATGGTAAAATACATGTAATACAACATTTGCTTTTTTATTTTTATTTTTTTGCGGTACTGGGGATCGAACTCAGGACCTTGTACTTGAGAGGCAGGCACGGCGCCACTGAGCTAAATTCCGGGCAACATTTGCCATTTTAACTATTTAGTTCTGTGACATTAAGTACATTTATGTTATTGCAGCCATCACCACCAACCATCAAACCCTTCTGATTTTGGAAAAGAAAGTTGAAACTCTGTACCTGTTGAACACTAATTTCTCATTCTTCTCTCCTTAACCCCAGAAATCACCATTTTATTTTCAGTCTCTGTGAATTTAACTATTCAGGTATCTTATATAGATGGAATTATGTAATATGTATGTGTCCCTTTGTAATAGGCTTATTTCACTTGTATAAATCTTCAAGTTTCTTCCATGTTGTAGGCGTCAGAATTTCAAAATTCTACATTCTACAGTATATATACATCACATTGTATCCATTCATCTGTCGGTGGACTCTTGACTTGGTTCCACTTTTTGGCTACTAAGACAGTCATTCATGATCATTTTTAAAATCATGTGAGGGCTTCTGCTCTGACTCATCTCTGGAACTCTTTCCATTATATAAGTTGGAAGGGTTTTGATGTGTCTTTTAATTCTAAAGACTAACGAGTCCCTAATACCAGGTTTGCTGAAGAAGAGAAGATTCTTTTCAGCCTTTTCTGCTATGATGAGACATGGTGCATACTATACTTCTGTTAATTCTGTTATACTTCTTGTTTATGGGTTTATTTTTCCTATTTCACTCTGAGCTGTTGTAGAGCAGAATCAATGACTAGTCCCTTGTGAATTGTGCCTTGTGCCTTCTGTGTATGTATGGGGCTGTTAGTTGGAAAAATGTAAATGAATGAATAATAATGGATAATTTTGTTGTGTGCCAGAAACTATGCCAGTGTTTTATATACATTTAGCTTTTTTAAAAAATAGCCCTATGAGATAAGTATTATTAACTTTACTTAGTAGATGAGAGAATTTGCCATAATCCTTGTAGTGTGTAACAGGCATATTTGGGATTTGAACCCTTGTCTCTCTTAGTTCCAGAGCCATTATACTAGAGGCTGACTTCATAGTGAAAGTGAACATTGGGTCTGAAAACATGAGATTTAGCCCAAGTACTAGTTCCAAACCAAATATTCTTTCATTGACTTCTAGAAGCTATGGCCTTCAGATAGATAAAGTTAATGAATGGACACTGAAGCTAGAGTGTGGCACATTAGTAACTTGGACCTTTTCTAGAGATTTAGCTGAACAAGTACCTGCTGAGTTCTGTTTATAGATATTCCTCTCTATAAATTCTTTCATATGTTATTTTGAAAGTGTAGTTAAATTCTAACTTATGTGATGTGGCCCTGGAATGCATGTGTCAAGTGTTTTTTGCATCTAAGTACTAACTGGGCATGACCCTGCTCGGCTTCTGAGATCAGACAAGATGGGGCGTGTTCAGGGTGGTATGGCCATAACCATGTTCTTCATTTGTTCTGTCTATTTGACAGCTACACACACACACACCCGTGTGCATGCGCATGTTTATATAAGCAACTGGCACTGTGTTAGCTCTTAAAAACAAAACTAAAAAGATTCTTAGGGAGCCTACATTCTAGTGGGAAGACAGAAAAATTAATGTTACTGAAGTACTGTGAAGACAAGCAGCCATGTTGTAAAGAAAGCTAAATAGGGTAATGTAATGATGGAGAATGACTAGGGGGTGTGATGTGAGGGAGTGGGACAGGAAACCTCTGAGATGAAGTATCGGGGAATGCCTCCCCAAGGAACTGAGATATGCAAACAGACAGCATCCAAAAAGCTGATAGATGTATTGTCTAGGGAGTGGAACAAGATGCCAGAGCTCTAGGGGTTGGTTGAGATTGGTTTGTTTGAGGAACAGAAAGGTTGGTATGGCTAAAGTGGAGTGAAAGTGGGTAGGAGGTGATGTTACAACATGAGATGGGCCCAGCATATAGGGCTTTGTAAGCAACAGCAAGAAAATAGGGTTTTTACCCCCACAAGTGTATTTTTTGAAGTGGCAGGACATTGTAGGGTTTTAAGCAGGAAGATAACTTGTGCTGCAGGCTGAAAAAGACTTTCTGTGCAGTTCTTTTCTATATTTGGTCCTTTTCGGCCTCCTGACACCATCTTTAACTGGGGTCCTTCCCAAGCTAGGAACCTTGCCCAACCAAGTCAGCAGCCGGCCCTGAGGGTCCTGGAAGAATGATATTTCTTTTAGAACAGTAGTGGGACTAATACTGCTTTTGTTGCCCATTTCACATAGAGAGGGCTTATCCAACAAGAACTTTGGGGATTTTCACACATCATCATTGTCTGGGTAGAGTTTTGTAACCTGGTTAGTTTAGGATAAAATTCAGTTTTTAATTAGACCTTGTTTTTCTGTGCCAGTAATTTGAAAGGACATATCACTGGATAATGATGTAGTTAAAGGCATATTCCTGGGAAGCCAAAATTGACAAAGAGGTGCTTTCCCACTATTCATAAATAAGATTGTGTTCAGTATTTGGATACTACTAAGGTAAATTGCCAACATTTGGGTGACATTATTCTTTCAAATTCTCAAAAACTAAAAAGAACAGAAAATGACATAATACCTTATAGTTCTATTTTATAGGTCAGTGCCATGTGCTATTTTCATGTATTGAAATAAGTGATGTCCTCTGATGTTTTTTCTCCTTTTTATCTCTTTTTAAAATGTTTTATTTGGGCTGGGGATTTAGCTCAGTGGTTTTGCCGCCTGCTGTGCAAGCACAAGGACCCAAGTTCGAGCCCTGGTACCAAAAAAAAACCCAAAAACACTAAAATGTTTTATTTGTAGGCCACTAAATTGGCTTCACATCTGCTGCTGAACTTTGAAAAATACTGAGAATACTGAGGCTCAGAGGTTCAGTCTCTTGTTCAGTGTCATATGGCAAGGAAGTGGTGTAGCTGAGACTTGAAGCAGACTGGTCTTTAAAGCTATTGTTTGTTTTACCATATTAAACATCCTCTGTAGTGGAAGGCTAACTTAACTTTTAATGAAAACTGAAGAGAAGAAGCACAAGTGACCTTCAATGATGATTACATAAAATGTGAATTTCCCAAAACAGATCCTACAGGAAGGGGCAGAAATAGTCTTACTGTGATGGTTGCCTCAACATTTTTCAAAGAACGGTAGGTCACTTGAATCATCTGTCCTTATCTTGGGTAGAGTGCAATTGACAGTACTTACTAGTTATGCTGGGAACCCACTGATTCTCAAAGCACTTACATCTCATTACTCAGCCTGGGTCTGAGCTAATCTTGCCTTCTTAAAATAATTGCTGGGTCTAAGATCTAGCTTCTGAGTGAGAGTGTAGCCTCTTAAAAGCAAACTATTGAAATATGACTTGAAGTCAGTGCGCGGGTGTGGGAAAAGATGTATCTAGGGTCTAGGTCCAGTCTAGTATTTCTCAACTGGTGATAGTACTGCTTTAGTTTTATGGAAAAGAGGAAGGAGTACCTTTTTTTCTCTGTGGAGCATAAGACTATATCAAAGGGAGGGGAACTCATGCCTATTACTGTCTTTTGTGAGCCATGTACTCAACTAGGCACATTTAACATAGGCTTTCATTAAATTTTCACAATTCTGTGAGGCGGAATTATTATCCTCATTTTTCAGAGAAGAAATATTGAGGCTCAGTAACAGGAAATGATTCATGAGCAGTGCAACCAGGGAGTACTGAGGTTGAGAGAGAAAATCTATACCTTAATTTGAAAAATCAAGTCTTCTACTTAGAACTAGATTGG